AATGTAGCAATTACAAATACAGTTTTTTTAAACCCAGGGATTTTAAGCAAAAGGCATTGAGATGGATTACATCTGTCTATATTTTATCTTTCTTACTAATGATTTGAAGGGAAGGTTTTGAAGTCATCTTTTTTTAAAGTTTAGAAACGAAACTGCTTCTTTCTTATATATATTTTTTTGTACACGTATGTTTAGTTTATCACTTACTTTTTCAAACTATCTCGTACTTTCTTTGGCAGCTGTTTTACTTTGCTAAGAAAGAAAGTTACAGTTATTTGAATAGAATGGAAATAATTCCCAGTAGACAGGTCAAGCTGCAATTCCAGTAGGGAGGATATCCGGTTGTCAATTTGAGAGTGCAAATCACTTGTCGAGCTAGCTTATGTTTGCGAAAGGTCTTATTCAATCTTTGGCTTTTCAAGACAGTTTTTTGAAGAGCTATTTTCTTCATGGAAGTGTATATGAGATTTTGGTCTCTTAGGTTTTCGAAACTACATGTGAAGTTATTAGAAAGGACAAGTTGAACCATATGCAGGGATTTGCATTCTACATCTGTAGGAGTTCTGTGAAATTTTAAGAATCTGTTCAGTTTGATTTCGAGTGAAATCAATGTATTCTTAATTTTTTCATCAAGAATTTACTGTAAGAATTCATTCGAAGAAACGGCAGTGTTAGGAGATGCCTTTTCCTTAGGAAAAATAGCACTTAATCGCGGTTGTGGATACCTATAAAGGAGAGCTTTTGTGTTGAAATTTTCAGTATTGTTTGAGTTTTTGTGGTTATAAAATGTAGATCATTTCATGCAAAATTTTTATTCTATTTCCTAATAGGTGATATTTATTTTGTGGAAAGATATTTGGCTTGATCTTGCAACAATTGTCGTTCATGGTAGATTTTACTGCATATCTTTAACATCACTTCCATTGTTTATTCTCATCAAACTTTAACTTATCAAGTATGTAATGGTTATTATTGCCATTTTCTTTACGTCTTTTATTTCGTAATTCAAGATATTTGTCCAAAGACTGTACTTTTATACAATCCATGTAGTAATATTCTGAAAAACCGCCTATATTTTTCACTATTCATCGCTCTTCCTGTCTCAAATCTAGTCCAAGTATCGTTCTTTTCGTATATTGTATGGTCTGGCACGAGCGCAATTATCAGCTTTTTCAAGATGCGTGGCGGTGGATATCGGGGCGGTCCGCGGGGTCGTGGTGGGTTTGTGGCTGGACCTTCATTCCCTATGCGTCCACCTCCATTCGACGTCCACCTCGCTAACGATGTGTTCGTTCGAATCAACGAGAATAACGATACTCAACTTACTCAGGTTAGTAATTTCATGCAGCTTTTATGGAGTTTTCACCGTGTTCATCACTTTTTTATTGT